AGGTGGCTAAAAGTATGCAATGATTTTTGTTTTTAGTATTTCCATAGAACTTGCCGATTGTTGCATATTTTTAGCCACCTTTAAATATGATTTTATGAGCCCTGTGACTTTTGGGTACCTCTTCTTTTCTACTAGTCTGAAATACTCCCCCCTCCTCGGATTACAGGGTATCGCAAAGGCAATAACTGAGATACGAATGCGAATACGAGCGGAGAACAACAAAAGCCCACGATGAATGGCCTGGATGGCAGGTGGAGCCGTCGGGTCAAGACCCCGGTCAAAGCCAATGATAATGGCTGCTGGCGGAGATTGAGGGGGTTAGCCAGAGGATTGGGGGAACAAGGATCCAACCTGGTGGTCCGGAGTGCCTCGAATTAATCCCTGGCGTACACTTTGGCCTCTCACCGAGGCAGCCTCGATTTTAATTGAATAACTGCACGAACGAGCGAAATGTTATGTTGTGTTGATAAGGCGATAAGATATGGCACCGATCCCAGGGGAAACGTTTTCCCAGGGATGTGTCCTCGCAACAAATCACGGATTTCGAATGGGAAACGGAAAGGCCTCGTGATTGTCTTTGTACTCATCGGACAAATGGTATAAAATAATGTATAAAACGAGTTTTTGTGTTTATCTCCTCCAGCTTATATTGTCACCTCGTTTTCTAGTGTTTTTCCTACCCGCTTCCTTTTGTTGACACGTTGATAGTATGTTTTCCAGGAAAAGCCGGCTTAAGCCCCCCATTTACATACGATCTGTATGCATATGAGGCGTTTTGGGGGAGGAATGTTTATGGGAGAACCCGCTCATAACCGCAGATTGCCACTTGATTTGTCCTCGGCCTTTTATGCACGTCAATCGCATTTGTTTTGGCTTTGTCTTGCCATTGTTTTTCCACTGTTTTCCCTTCAGTTCCGGCTTTTCCTTTTGACAGAGAGACAGACAGACCGACAAACAGCCGGAGGAATGCAAAACCAAAACGAATCGAGGCTCTCTGGCCGTCGGCAGCTGTAATCACCGCTGTGAAATGTGTGACATGCGATATCTATTATGCAAATATTGGCAGGCCGCAAATCCACAAATCCTCCTGCCCCGATTGCCACGCCCCCTCCCCTTTCCTCTGATCGAATAATCCCGGCTTTACAACGTCCTGTGAAATAAAACGTGACTGCACTTTGCATTGGTTATTATTCACTTTCAAATTTGAACACTTCTAATAACCATTCAATTAAAATTATATGTGTTCAGAAGTATACGCAGAAAAGTTTTTTTTTAAATATTAAGAAATAATTTGTATAAAATTAAATGTTAACAATTAAGGAAAAGTAAAAAAAAATCTCGCAAAATTGTTAATTTATTCGGCTACTTAAAGTCTCTTGTTCCCTGCTTTTAATCTGTGTTTTAAAACTGTTGTTTTCGTAGCTCAGTTTCTGTTTTTAATGCGCGACAAACTTTTATGATAAGCCCGCCTCGTCGTCGTGGGGAATCCCCCAGTTTATCCCCAGTTTGTAGGGGTATAATATATATCCCTATTAATGAAATACCACACAGTAGAATATATGTTTACACAAAATAGTTTATAGTTTTATTATTATTTTAATTCACAAGTTTTATCTGGTCAGGATCACTGCTGGCATTCAACTAACTTCGCTCTCAGCTCACGACTCGCACCAACCCCCGACTCTCTGAGAGAGTGAGTGTGGTGAGATCGCAAGAGAGAGAGTAAGCTCTACAACAACAACAACGTACTCTAAGAATATTCAGGAATGTTCTAGAAGGAATACAATAACTTATACATACATACATACTACTACGTAGCCATCCTGCTACAATTCGGCCGTCCTGACATTTCAAGATCCCCTGATCTTGGTTTAATTTACAATTGATTTCATCTAAAATTATCTTACATACTATCAGTCTTTAGCTTTACAATTCTTTGGATATATTTACAGCTATTTTCGTTTACCAATCCAATGCTTAATATTTTGACTACTCCAGACTCCTTGATAAGGGCAACGCGACAATTGAAAACCTTCCACATCTTTTATTACATACCTATCATTTCTCAAAACTTTATCTATAACATAAGGACCCTTGTGTTTGGGTATTAGCTTCCTTGCGACTCCTACTGCATTATCGAAATTTTTCACCATAATATAATCTCCAACTTTGTACTCTAAACTATCCTTCCTTTTTTCATTGTATCTTCTTTCGTTGTCATTTTGTAATTTGATTTGCGATTCCACTCCATTTTTCCTAATTTTGTCTAAATCTCTAACATCTCTAACATCACTAACATTATCTAATTCTTCTAACTTTTGCCTCAATTCATCAATAACTTTTCCTTTCTGTTCGATTCCAAACAACATTTTACTCGGCATTTGTGCAATGCTTCTTTGCTTTGTATTGTTCAATGAAAATTCAACGTCCTCAACAACTGTATCCCAATGCAGTCCTTTTTCCGGGTCTGCTAATTTAGCTATCATTGGCCCAATTATTCTATTAATTCTTTCCACCTGCCCATTGGCCTGAGGTGACCCAGTCGCAATTTTTACGTGCTTAATATTATATTCTTCGACAAATCTTCCAAACTCTTCCGATGTAAAACAGCTTCCTCTGTCCGAAACGATACATGTTGGCCTGCTGTACGACCTAAAATAATCTTTCATTGCTATAATAACTTCTTTTGTGTTCGTCGTCTTTGTTGCATATAGCCTAACGTATTTAGTAAAACCGTCTATCACCACAAACAAATGTTTCTTTGATCTTCCATTATCAACCGGTCCGTAATGATCGATATGTATAATTTCGAATGGCACATTTCCTTTTGGTATGCTGTGCAACATTCCTTCCCCTTTTCCTGACTTTGGCGAATATGCCACACATCTCAAACAATTATCAATATGTCTAACAACTTTTTCTTTCATATTCGGAAACCAATACGTCCTAACAATAGCATCCATAACCTTGTCTCGTCCTAAATGACCTAATTCATTGTGATATTTGTATAATATCTTGTCCTCCATTTCTCCTGGCACACAGAATAACAATTTCCCATCATTTGATTTTCTATAAATAACTCCATTCCTCATCTCAAACATTTTATCTTCCTCTTTTTCTAACTTTTTCCTAACATCTTTCAACTTCTCATCTTTCGCTTGACAAATAATTAAATTGTCTTCAAAACTATTCGTTTCTACTACCAGTATATTCGTATTCCTACTTAACGCGTCTACGTGTTGCATAAGTTTTCCCGATTTATGAACTAACTCAAAGTCATACTCAAGCAATTCTAATGCCCATCGTGCAATTCGAGGGTTTAATTCAATCCTATTTAATGTTAACGTCAGTGAGTTACAATCAGTAACTATTCTAAATCGTCTACCCTGCACATAAATTCTAAATCTTCGTAGAGCATAAATTATTGCTAACGTTTCAAGTTCAAAACTGTGATATTTTGCCTCGTCTTTTGTTGTGGCCTTTGAAAAATAAAAAATAGGGTGCAACTTTTTATCCTCTTTCCTTTGTAGTAAGACCGCTCCAAAACCTTGTGCGCTTGCATCTGTATGCAATTCTATCTCGTCTTTATAATAATATAATCCTAACACTGGCGCTTCAACTAACATTTTCTTAAGCATCTCAAAACATTGTAGTTCCCTTTCTTCAAATGCAAACTCTTTATCTTTCTTTAACAGGTCATATAATGGTTTTGCGATCATCGAAAAATTCTTAATGAATCTCCTAAAATACGAACATAAACCTAAAAAGCTTCTAACACCATGTACTTTATCTGGAACAGGGAAATCTCTAACAGCTTCTATTCCTTTATCATTAGCTTGTATTCCCTTGCTGGTTACTAAAAAACCTAAATATTGTACACTTGCTTGTAAAAACTCACATTTGTCCATTCTCAATTCTAGTTTGTTTCTTGCTAAACGATCAAAAACTTCCCTAAGAACATTTAAATGTTCCTGTATCTCTTTACTGGCGATCATAATGTCGTCCATATATATTACTACCTTACCATCCCTAATCATGTCCGCAAAAATTGTATTAATAAATCTCTGAAACACCGCAGGAGCGTTTTTAAGCCCCATTGGCATTCGCATAAATTCAAATTGTCCTAATGGCGTCATAAATGAAGTATATTTTATTGAGTCCTTATCCACAAATACATGAAAGTAGCCATGTTTTAAATCTAATTTCGAAAATATTGTTTTATTTACTAAAGTGTCTAACAAATCGTCAATTAAAGGTAAAGGATAGTTATCTTTAACCATTGTCTTATTAAGTTTTCGATAATCCACACATAGTCGTAAGTCGCCTGTTTTCTTTTTTACTAACACTATTGGAGATGCGTACTCAGATTGACTTGGTCTTATAATTCCCTCGTTTAAGTATTCATCTAATATAACCTGTAACTTTTCTTTTTCTGTATAAGCTAAACGTCTGGGCGAACAACTAAAAGGTTTAGAATCCTCTAATCTTAATTTTATTTCACATCTAACTTCGGGTTCCTGTGGTCTTTGTTTATTTACATAACAGCTTTCTACCATTTTAATAAAATGACGCCTAACATTATAATTCACTTCATTGCCAATTTTGTAATCTGGACTTTCATCTGTAATATTAATATTAAACAATTCCCTTGCCACTAGATCTATTTCATTGCTATTCCTAACTATTTCTTTATCTTTAACTTTACTAACATTTCTAATCATCTGCCTATTGTCGCTAATTTTATCACTAACATTGCTAACTATCTGGTTTTCATGACTAACAATATCACTAACAATCTGATTTTCTTCTCTAACATTTCTAACAATATCACTAACATTTGGAGGGTTTTCAATGTTCTCAACCGTAACCATTTTCAAAGTGTCGAGGTTTAAATTAATATTACATGCTTCCATAAAATCTCTTCCAAGGACTACATCATGACTCATAGATTTGTTTGCCACAATAACTAAATGAAAATAAATTTTATTTAAATTCTTCATAACATAACACAATATTTTGCCATAGGTTTCTAAGTAACTCTTATTTAATCCATGATATAAACTTAAAACTGGTAATTTGCAAACATTTTCTGGTACTTTTGATATTTTAATAAATGAAATCGGGCTCCCTGTATCTATGAGACATTCTGTAGTTAACTTGGTATTAATATCATTCATAAAATTGATTTCAACGTATCTTACATAATTATTATTGCCTGTGTTCTTATTTTTGCTCTTCAAACACGTCGCCACAAAATGTCCCATCTCGCCGCACGCATAGCACGATCCTTTCTCCCGTTTTGACTTTCTGCACTCGTTCGCCCAATGCCCTTTGGCATTGCAATTGAAACATCGTGTCTCCTTCTTGTCCTTGAAGTCCAATGATGTCATCGGTTTTCCAACAGATTTCGGCAATCTAACATCGGCAAATGCTCGCTTTATGTGCCCAACATCCACAAAGCTTTGAATGTGCGCCAGATTGCGCAGCCCTTGATTTGTAATACCTTCGATGATGCAGCTCAACATTTCATCTCCATCAATATTAATGCCCTGAGCAAGCATTATCTTATCGTCAACATAACTCCCGAACGTCTCGCCTGCACTCCATTTGCGATGCTCAAATTTGCGCCTTATCACCAGCTTTGATGATTTTTCGCCAAACATTGCGATCAGCTCAGCCGTTAATTCCTCCAATGGTAACAAAACACGCCCAGCATTTGCGTGCAACCAAACATTAGCTTTGCCTTTAATTTTGCTAATCATCAACATTTTTATATAATTTCCGGTTATACCGTAGATGCTTGCGATATTATATATCCGAGTGATCCATTTGCGCGCACATGATTCGCCCGCAAACTCACACAACACTTGCGTAGCCATTCTCAAAGAAATGTCTATACTTTGATTAAAATTGTTCTCCATCTTTTCTTTCTCTCCATCTTGGTTCTGCATGTTCACTTCTGCACAGTTTCGATTTCTGCCTCCACCTTTGTTCTGCTTGCCGTCTCTTTCGTAGCTTCTTTCACCTCTTGTTTCCTCGCCAGCTTCGCTTTCGTTTTCTCCATCTTCGCGTATATATTCCCGAACTTTTTCACCGTCTTCGCCTTTGTCGTTCTTTTCGCCAACTTTGTTCTTGCCTTCTCCATCTTCGCTATTAATTTCGTCGCCTTCTTCTACTTCGTAATCCTCTTTACCGCCGTCTTCGTTGTTACTTTTGCCGCCGTCTTCTTCCTCGAAATTCTCGATGCCGCCGTCTTTGCAGTTACTTCTATCGCCGTCTCGTTCTTGGAATTTCTCTTTGCCTCCGTCTTCTCCTTTACTTCTTTCGCCGTCTCGGTTCTCCTTCATTTCGTTAAACTTATTGCGTTTTTCGCTCGGTAATTTGTTTAAACGTAAAATCAACTCCTGTTTTGAACCAGTCGTTGAACATTTTAATACACCTAACCATCTTTTTAGTTGTTTTATCGATACTTTGTTCAAATCCATTTTGTTTTATTAAATTGTTTCACTTTCTTAGTTTTTAAACTTGTAGTTTTTAATTTGTTTGGCACGTGATCGGCCCACTTCTGATTTTGTAGGGGTATAATATATATCCCTATTAATGAAATACCACACAGTAGAATATATGTTTACACAAAATAGTTTATAGTTTTATTATTATTTTAATTCACAAGTTTTATCTGGTCAGGATCACTGCTGGCATTCAACTAACTTCGCTCTCAGCTCACGACTCGCACCAACCCCCGACTCTCTGAGAGAGTGAGTGTGGTGAGATCGCAAGAGAGAGAGTAAGCTCTACAACAACAACAACGTACTCTAAGAATATTCAGGAATGTTCTAGAAGGAATACAATAACTTATACATACATACATACTACTACGTAGCCATCCTGCTACAAGTTTTTCGTAGCAGCCATCAGAAATTAGCGTCCATTAATTAGCTGGCTCTGCTGGATTGACGTTAAGTTGTTGCCCCCAGTTTTCTGTGTCCTATGGCCTTTGCTATTGGGATCGAGGGATCCGGGAGTCCCTATATCCTGTGGCTGCAACTTCGGGGGGTCGAAAAGAGAAGGGGAATTGAGAGTTTTGCCCCTGCAGATAATTACCGCAGCATGTCAAAGTTTTGAGCTATCCTCCTACCCAGCTAACAGGTAATTTATCTTGGCTCCACCGGAGGCAATGCTTTAATAGATCATTTGCTGCATCATTGCGCATACGCCGTGCGAGCCCCGCTGCCATTACCTTTGTAACGTGGCTAATCCTTTGACTTTGGAGCGAGTGAAGGGGGAGGAGTAAAAGGAGTCCTGTCTGGTTGTCACGTCGCTCTGCTGGATTTTTCTCCACTTTTTGCGCTCATCCAAATATATCACTGTCTGCGGCGGAATGCGAGTCTCCATTAAATGTGGGCCACCGCCAACGGAAGCCACCGAAGCCACTGAAGCCACGGAAATTCTGCCACCAGCGAAATTCCCCGCTCGTTTTGGGTTTCACTTTTCATTTTTCGCCTGCATTTCAGCAGACACCGAAAAACACCCCAAAAAACAAGAACCTCTATATATTTAAAGCTCGCCTCGCAGTTCGCCTGCATAATTCTATTATGGCTGTAAAGCAATTTTATTTCATATTATTTATGCTCGACGCCAGTCATCAAGACAAAACTACAGCAGAACTTCTTTGGCCTCAACTTTAGTGATTTTAGCATTTGCTTTCAAGCTGCTCCCCCAAACTCGAACTTTCGCAATGACAAATAAGACAGCAACGAGTGCACATAAATTTAAATTTCGAGTTGCGCACTTAAAGCTAGCAATCAAGAGTAAGATTACACCAATAAATTGTCCAATTCAGTTTATCAAGGACTCTACTGTTGTTAAGTCTATATTATTCTTTTGCCTTTTAAGAGGTTATTTCGAAGAACGATACTAAAGACAGGGTTTTATTTCTTTCTTTAAAAATAAAATTTAAATACATTTAAATAATAAGTATACATTTTTGCAGAGATTGTATATTTTAAAAAGTTTATTTAAAGAATTTGGCCTGTAGGTTAGTTTTTCTTTGTCAAAAATACTAAAAATAACATCTCTTAAATCATACAAAAATTTAAAAGAATTTTAAAAATATTTTCAGTTTTTGGGGATGCATAGTTTCGATAGTTTAGGAATTTTCCCTGTAGTAAGGGGGGTCCAGCTGTTGTTTTGTTCCCTGGATGCTGGCTACCTTATGGCCACTATATCCGTTCCCTCTATTTCCCTACTCTTCGGCTTTCGTTTTCATATCTGCTGGCTGCCATTTCGCATTTTCGTTTTCATTTTTACGCTTTGTAGGTCTCGCTTTCGCATTTGCCCTTGCCCCGTCACTTCCTGGTCCCCTCATAACACCCTTCTACCGCTTTTAACCCCTTCTAGCCCCTTTCTAACCCCTCTTGACCCACCACCAGCCCCTTTTTTGCTCCTGTAAATGTCGCGTTGGCTGTCATCATCAAATTACGCCAGGCTTTTGTGGCTGGGTTTTTGTTTTCGGGGCAGCAGTAAAGCAAAATTAAATAGCCTTTTAGGGTTACATTTAGGTAAACCTCTTAATTTTTTTGATATTAAAAAATGGTATTTAATTTAATATGTAGAATACAAAGGTGCTCAAAGTCGATTTTAAGTTAAAAGTTAAAATTTTGATTATAATTAAATAACATATACATTAAAATAGTTTTAAAGTCAAAGCCTTAAATTTGTATATTTATGAACTGTTTACTGCTCTTCTTAGTTTGGCTCACCAAATTTTTAGTAGAAACTGAACCTTTAAATATTTATATTTTGTTAACAAAATTCAAAAAGAAACTTGTGTTTCTGAACTTAAAACATATTTAAATTATTTAAAATAAAAAATAACAAACACATTTTTGAAGGTAAGCCCCTTTTATAAATAAATGTGTAAACAAAGTGGATTAGTTTTCTCGATGAAAATTAATGAAAATTGTCTGCTTATGAGTTTTGCCCCTTAAATTGCCTGTGTGCGCTCTTTTGATTTCGGTTTACTCTGCTGATAAGCCGAGATCGCTCTTTTTCCGGCGCTCTTCCATTCCATTACATTAGCCCTCTCTGAGTCACTTTCTCTCTGATAAATCACGTATACGCCGCGTCGATCGCCGTCCGAATGGCAGTCGCCAACGAAACGCGCGCGCAAGCAAACCGCCAGCGAATCGCAGCGGAGGAGCATCTTATTCGGCTGAATGGACTAACTTTCTGGATAAAGAACAGCCCTATATCATAGATCTCAAGAAAGGAGGAGGAGATTGAGTGAACTTTGACCTTGGAAAATGGCCGCCGCAATGATGAGCGATCGGGAACGGGAGGCGATCGTCAGCAACTTGACCAAGGATGTGCAGTCGCTGAGGGAAATGGTGCGGAGTCGGGAAAGCGAGCTGGTCAAGCTGCACCGGGAAATCCACAAGCTGAAGGTGAGCCAGAAGTGGGGTGAAGTCATAAAGGTAGGGGAAATCGGAAAACATTGGGAAAAGCCATCCATCGCTGTCTATCGCATCGCTTTGTTTGCTCTGTTTTTTTTTTGTTTTTATTGTTTGCTGCCCCTGGAAGTTCAGATAAGCTCAGGAGCTTCCACACGCAGACCGCACTATTTCATTTTTTCGGACTAAATTCGAATTCGCTTTGTGTATCGCAGAGATACAAAAAGTATCTGCAAATACACACGACCCCTCCTCTATCACAATCACATCGTTATCTGGGCAACAGCAGCAGACTCTGCCCAGATATCAGATATGCCTACCCCACTGAACCGCAGAAGGGAGGGGGTGGCTACCTAACCCATGCCCTTGCTAGATATTCATATCTAATTCCCCCTTTCCCCACCTAAACCATCCGCACATATTTAAACTGTAAGGCAGATTTATTGAGCCAAGTGATTAGCACTTCTTGGCGAGATCTCATCGTCGTGCACAATTTTATAGCCCAAAGAAACGAGTGGAAATTCGAAATACGAGACTTGCGACTCTCGGATACTCGGTAGGCAGTTCTCCAGATTATTTGGAAGCCGAAAATCATTTAATTTTCATTATCTCACTAATTGGGGCTGTAAAAAGTCAGAGGGAGAGAGACTGAAAGAGCTAAATTGCAAAATTGCTAATATTAAATAAATTAGAGGGCGGCTTAAATTGTTTTCATGGTTATAGAAAAGGTCTAGATGGGGAATAAGTAAATACGAGTAGGTAAATAAATAAATTATAAAAATGATCTTTCCCATTTTTTATAAATCTTTTAATTAAAGCATAATTCAAATATAAATAATTAATTACTTAAATTAAAAAATTTAATAATATTATAATTTTTCCAATCATTTCTTTATAACATAATCAAGATAACAAATGAAATCACTTATCCACTCTTTAGAAAACTGTTCTCTGGATCATAATAATAATTTAAATTGTTATTTGTCATAATGAAAATTTTGCTTGCTTATTCAAATCCCCATTCGTAGAGAATTCCATCTTTGCGAGATGTAAAGCTCTTCGGCACTTAATTCAGCTGAGAGTGTGCGTCGCTAATTGCCGGATCACCTCCAGCTTGAGACGTCCCCTCTGTTACCCCAGATCTCGCAGATCCCCAGATTACTTTGTGGGTAAACAAAAATACAGAAAGATACATAGATAATATAGTTCCGACCGGGGCAGCACGCGCATCTCATCTCGAAAAAAAAGCAACAGAAAAGAAACAGAAACCGAAACCAAAACCGAAATAAAAGAGCGGCGAGCGAGAAAAATAGGAAATGCGAGCTGGGCCAAAGAAGAGTGTTTTTGAAATGCTAATTTCTATGCAAATAATTTGGAAAACAAGCAAAAGGTGGTTGGTGATGGGAGGGGGTGGTAACACCTCGCCCCGACATTCGGCTTATCATGTTTACCCTCTGAGCTGGAAATGGAATTGGTATAGAAACTGGAACTCCATGACTGGGTCTACTTTCTGGGGAGGCGCCTCGGATTCGGATTCGGATTTGCCTTTCGGCTGCGGCTTTATCTATGCCGCTTTTTGGGTCACAACGCCTAGGGGAAAATTTAGCATTCTATTTACGGACTGTGATAAGGGAGTCACAAAATACGCACCCAATTGGCATACACTGGTAGCGAAAAAGGTGTTGCAAAGTATTTGCGTTACGAGTCATTTTTTAATAGAAAAGCCTTAAAGTGTACGACAGATAAAAAAATGTAAATGTTTTTATTTTTATTTTGAACACAAACTATTTATATTTTTAATTCATGTATTAAAAAAGATATTAAAATTGTATGTAAAAATATGAAACAAATTTTAAAATAAGGGGCTGTCCATATATTACGTAATCACAATTTCGGCGACTTTTGACCCCCCCCCATGTAATCAATTCTTCTTCTTCTTCTTCATAGGTGTATTTGGTTTTCATTCCATTAATTTTTATAATTTTATTAAAGGGCCTTTAATTCTTATTATTTATCTCCCTGTGTATTTCATCCCGGGATTTGTCATCGTGAAAGCACGTGAATGCCATCCGCAGTGGGTCATCTAATTGAGTTGGGTGTCTGAGTGTCGAGGGAATCACGCGGCCCCATCGATTGATTGGCTCACAATTGTCGGGGAATTGATTAAGCGACGCATGACAATTGTGGCTCCCATCTCTGACCCTCCCCTCCGTTCCTTTTTTCCAGAGTGTGCTTCAGCAGACCACCAACCACCTGAACGTCACCCGGAGTGAGAAGGCCAAGACGAAGCTGTACTCTCTTCCAGAGCAATGTAACGAGCAGGAGGGCAGGGATCGGGATCCGCATGTGTGCAGCTCCTGCGGCATGGTGCTGCCCACCAGTCCGGAGTTCGCCCTGGAAGCTTTGTCTCTGGGACCACTGCCTCACTCGGCAATGGCATCTTCGACGGCTTCCCCATCCCCAACGGCCACTCCTTCGCCTTCTCCGTCGACGGAGGAGGCGAGACCCAAGGCCATGCCAGCTGCCATTAAAAAACAAGGCGTCTCCGCCGAGAGCTGCGTGCAGTCCATGCAACAGTCCTACAGCATTCCTATCCCAAAATATGACAAGGATTTCAGGTGAGATTTGTCTTGAACTTAAAATCTGCATTCACAGTCGTAGAGTAAAACTAATACCTATCGAAATGTAGAAAAAAATTTTGATATCGCATCATGCATTTAAAAGTTATGAGCAAAACAAATAATGAAATGCAAGCAGTGCAAGCAGTCGATTGACTACTTGCATAACTTTATCTCGCTCGCACTCCCTTAAGCTTATTAACGGGTATCTAATAGTCGTTTCCCTTGTTTGTAGTACTTACTTTAAACTTTATACGTTTTAAAACTTTCACTTGTTTGTAGTACTTACTTTAAACTTTATACGTTTTAAAACCCAACAACCTTGATCTTCCCCAGTGACAAACAGCAGATCAAAGACGCCATCATGGACAACGACTTCCTGAAGAACATAGACGCCTCGCAGGTGCGCGAGCTGGTGGACTCGATGTACTCGAAGAGCATCGCCGCCGGGGAGTTTGTGATCCGCGAGGGCGAGGTGGGTGCCCACCTGTATGTCTCGGCGGCCGGGGAGTTTGCGGTGATGCAGCAGGGCCGGGTGCTGGACAAGATGGGCAAGGGCAAGGCGTTCGGGGAGCTGGCCATCCTGTACAACTGCACCAGGACCGCGTCCATCCGGGTGCTAAGCGAGGCGGCCAGGGTGTGGGTGCTGGATCGCAGGGTCTTCCAGCAGATCATGATGTGCACGGGTCTGCAGAGGCGGGAGAACAGTGTGAATTTCCTGAGATCGGTGCCGCTGCTGAAGAACCTCAGCGAGGAGCTGCTGGCCAAGATAGCGGATGTCCTGGAACTGGAGTTCTATGCGGCTGGTACCTATATAATCCGCCAGGGAACCGCCGGCGATAGCTTCTTCCTGATCTCACAGGGCAATGTGCGGGTGACCCAAAAGCTGACCCCCAGTTCTTCGGAGGAAACGGAGCTGAGAACTTTATCTCGGGGAGATTACTTCGGGGAACAGGCGCTGATCAACGAGGACAAGAGGACGGCCAACATTATAGCCCTGTCACCGGGAGTGGAGTGCCTCACCTTGGATAGGGATTCCTTCAAGCGACTGATTGGCGATCTCTGCGAGCTGAAGGAGAAGGACTACGGGGATGAGAGCAGGATGCTGGCCATGAAGCAGGCCAGGGAGAGCAGCCAGGATGAGCCGAAGGAGCAGCTGCAGCAGGAGTTCCCCGACCTCAAGCTCACCGATCTCGAGGTGGTCAGCACTCTGGGTATCGGTGGCTTTGGCCGCGTGGAGCTGGTCAAGGCCCATCATCAGAACCGCGTGGATACCTTTGCCTTGAAGTGCCTGAAGAAGCGACACATTGTGGACACCAAACAGGAGGAGCACATCTTCAGCGAGCGGCACATAATGCTCAGTTCCCGATGCCCCTTTGTGTGCCGATTGTATCGCACTTTCCGGGACGAGAAGTACGTCTATATGCTGCTGGAGGCCTGCATGGGTGGCGAGATCTGGACCATGCTGAGGGATCGCGGTTCCTTCGAGGACAACGCCGCGCAGTTCATCATAGGCTGTGTTCTGCAGGCCTTCGAGTATCTTCACGCACGTGGGATCATCTATCGCGATCTGAAGCCCGAGAACCTGATGCTGGACGAGCGTGGCTATGTGAAGATCGTGGACTTTGGCTTTGCCAAGCAGATTGGAACCAGTGCCAAGACGTGGACCTTCTGCGGCACCCCGGAGTACGTGGCCCCCGAGATCATCCTGAACAAGGGTCACGATCGAGCCGTGGACTATTGGGCTTTAGGAATCCTAATCCATGAGCTGCTCAATGGAACGTAGGTTTAAGAATCTGTATGATGTTTGGAACTCCTATTAGTAATGCTTCTCTTTACTTGATAGCCCACCATTTAGTGCCCCGGATCCCATGCAGACTTACAACCTCATCTTGAAAGGCATCGACATGATTGCCTTTCCCAAGCACATTTCCCGCTGGGCCGTGCAGCTCATCAAGCGGCTCTGTCGTGATGTTCCTTCGGAGCGACTGGGCTACCAGACTGGTGGCATCCAGGACATCAAGAAGCACAAGTGAGTAGAACAACCGGACGCCGTATTCCTAAAGAATTCGTGTTGATTCTCTGGTGCTAAAGAACTCGCGCTTTTTGGTTTGACAAGCGAATTCCATGCCCGCGAATTCTTTAGTGTTGAGTTTCTGCCGTATGCAAATGTTTACGGCATATAACCAAATTAAGTAACATTTCATATCACTCTTTTGTAACAGTTGTATTCTAATAGATATTTTATAAATTTTTTGTTTTATTTATTTTAATTTATTTTTTTAGTTTTTTTATTAAATATAAATGACTAATTAAATGTTCGTAGTTTCTAAATTACTACACAGGCCGACAGTGTTTTTGGTGCAGCCCTATGGGCATTAAATTGTGTTAATATAGACGGGTATAAGCATATCTGCATACTTAGTTTTCGCGTTTAACGGGTGGTATTTGTGCAATCGCGGTTTGAAAAAAATAGCAACATTAATTGTTTTGATTTAAGATATCCTCGAGGGTCTGTGCTTAGTTGTAATAAAACCTATACCAAAAAATAGCTTAGATGCCCTTCTAAATAATTGCATTTAAGGTTCCATCATAATTTGAGTCAATCAAAGCCTATGAGCCATTGAAGTAATTTGTTCACCTCTATTCCCAACCAACTTGATGCGGTGAACAGGCTTAAAAAAATACAAGTCAAAATATGTGCCCTAAAATATTTGACAGGCATCTAGAGGCGTCTTTCACCGAATTTTTAAGATAAATAAGACCATTATACGTCGAAGGATGGAATTTATAGAATTTTTTTCATAGGAACGTAAAAAGTAACAAGTATTTTTGAGTAACTATTACGTAACGAGTTGGTCGTGACTTAACACAGTAGGTTTTTTAAAGATAACAGTGGCGTAGCCTTAAAATTGTGGGGGGAGATATTTAACAGGCATACTAACCCCTTGAAAATACAAATTTTCGATGTTCGGCGCCTACTGCTAAACAAATTGAAAGGCAAATTTCTACGAATGTGTCAGATATTTATGTAAAATGGAATTTCAAAATTCTTGTTACTTTTCCCTTTCTTACGGAAAAAATTCTATAAATTCCATCCTTTGAAGTACAATAGTGGGTTTTATCTCAAAAATTCGGGAAAAGTCGTCTCTAGATGCCTGTCAAATATTTTACAGCACATATTTTTCCTTGTATTTTTTTAAGACTGTTCACCGCATCAAGTTGGTTGTGAACAGAGGTGAACAAATTACTTCAATGGCTCATAGGCTTTGATTGACTCAAATAATAATGGAACCTTAAATGCAATTATGTAGATGGGCATCTAAACCATTTTTTGGCATAGGTTTTAATTCAGTTGGGCAAAGACCGTCGAAGATATCTTAAATCAAAACATTAAATGTTGCTATTTTTTTCAAACCGCGATTGCACAAATACCACCCGTTAAACGCGAAAACGAAGTATGCAGATATTCTTATATACGTCTATATTAACATATTTTAATGCCCATAGGCCTGCACCTTTTAATAAAGTCCATTTTGTTGACCTGTGCTATTATTTTTATTTGTATTATTCATAATATTTTTCTATTTCGTTTTTTTTGTCTTATTTTATGTTTTTTTTTTTATTTATTTATTTTTTAGGTGGTTCCTGGGCTTTGACTGGGATGGCCTCTCCAGTCAGCTGCTGATCCCGCCCTTCGTGCGACCCATTGCCCATCCGACGGATGTGCGCTACTTCGACCGCTTCCCCTGCGATCTAAATGAGCCACCCGACGAGCTTTCCGGCTGGGATGCGGACTTCTAGGACTTCTAGTACTTCATCACTGTGTTTAGTTTACTCGTTAGGTTATTTTATTGATTTGCTTAGTAGAAACGTAGAAAGAAACAAAGAAAAGCCATCTTAGTTAGTTACTCCGAATCATGGTAAAAGTACACACTGGATTTGGCGGCCAGCAGTCGGCAGATTTGCGAGCATCTCGCGATCAACGGAGTGTAGATCTTCTCGGAATCCTTGGTGGGTTCCGCAGCCAGGTGAAGGCCAGAGGGCACATTCTTAAAGAACTCCTCGTAGGTGAGTCGGGGCTCCCTGCCCTTGGGCATCCTGCAGGATTGGCAATTGCAATTCGATTCCCGATGCTCGTAGAAGGCGTATCTCGCTCGAAAGGCGCAACCCAAGAGGCTCACCTCCACTCCGGTTCTCTGATAAACAGGAGCATCGAAGATGTCCGCCACGATCTGCAGGACTTGCTGGCTCCTCGAGTCCTCACCCACCACTATCACCTTCGTAAACTTGGATTTATTGAAGCCCATCTCCCGGGCGATGGCATAGTGGTGCATGATCTGTCCCTCGATCACAGCTCGCACTTCGATTTCCGGTGTGGCAAAGGCAGGACGACCCCTCAAGCACTCCGCTGACATGTAGTCTATCCCCGCATCCCAACGCAGAGTTCCCTGGGCAATGGGTATAATCTCTCGATCCCTGAAATGCACAGCCACATTGCCACTATTCCCGGGGGGCGTTTGATCCAGCATCTCGTAGAACCTCACCCAACTGCCATTGGCCAGCTCCTCGCAAACGGCCTTTCGAACTAATCCACCATTGTGGAAGCACAGGATGCCCATGAACTCATCGGTCCGCGTGGGATGACACATCACATGGCCATCCTCCAAACGGGGAGCCCGCTTCAGAGGCATCACCACCACATCACTGGTGTCTAGAGATAGCATAAGGAAGTTATTCTCCTCGAGAAGACCGGCCAGTTCGGAGGCCTTGCTCCCGGCGGAGGCCACCACCATGCAGTCGGGTCGAAAGTTCCACCTCTTCACATAGTAATCTGCCACTCTTCCCTGGAGTCTATTAGAGGGTATGGGTTTCATTAGACGCCTGGCCAAATCAGGAGCACAGGCATCCAGGCACTTGGGTGACCACTTCTTGCGCCGGATGTCCAACAGATTCATTCCCGAGCCATCGGTGTAGTCTATGGAGGCCATGCCCCCGATGAGTAGGGAAGCCAGGAAGCTGGAGATCAAGGAGATCCTCGAACATCTCTCGTAGTGCTCCGTGCACTGGGTGTACACCTTGCGGATCTGTGGACCCGTGAACCTGGTATAAGCCCGAGATCCCGTGATGCTGGACATTTCAGCTGGCCCTCCGACTGCCTGCTCCATTTCGCGCACCTGTTCATCCGTGGACGAATCCCTCCAAGTGGGCGTCCTGGTCAACTCGAAGGCACTTTCGGTGAGCTGTTCATGCAGGCGGAGATTGGCATTCAGATTGCAAAGACGTCTTAGTCCCAAATCCGACCAGAAGACACAACCATGCTGCTGCGCCGCCCCACCAATGGAGGCTATTGAGTGGAGGTCCGCTCCCTGCTTCTCCAGGCAGTCCATCAGCATGTCCAGCGCCTTGACCCACATCACTGGATTGGCCAAGTATTCACCGGGTCCTCCGTCTGCTAGGATACCATTCTTGGTCTTGAACTCGGGCAGGTCGACGTCATATCGAATCTGGGCCACATAGGCCACTTTTAGATTGGAGTCGAGGATCAGGGCGCGCAGGAGCTGGGTGCCCAGGTGGAGGCCCAGGTAGCTGTTGCCACTGTAGTCCTGTTTGCGACGGTGGCACATTTTCCAGAGGTTTTTATGGGTTTTAAAGGGTAGGTGGAAATGGATAGGAGAGCTGCAAATTTTTAGGAAATTATTATAAGACGGAAAAGACTAAGCATCAAAGGTATATCGAAAGTTATTATATTTTATTCCGCAAATTAGAATAGAAATATCTATCAAGATAAAAAATATAAATAAAAATTTCATCGCTTTGATATTTATAAATTTCATAAATATTTATTGACAATAGTGAGTAATTCTAGGACTGCTGTTGCCCGATGCGTCGCTGCTCGGTGATTTTGAACTGCAGAAGGACCACGAGATAGGTGGCCATGAAGGAGATGTTGGTCGTGATTAGCTCCCGGTTGATGTTCGCATAGCCGTCCAGATTCATGATGGGCGGATTCTTATTGATGGCCACCAGGAGCATCTCCACCTCCTTCTGGGTGGCGGCATCCACGGCGGTCAGGTTAATGTTGAGTAGCTTTGTTTGGAAGTCGAGTCCAACCTTCCGGGAGGCGTAATGCGCCTCGTTGCAGATGATATACAGCAGACCCATGCAGTAGAACACGATGACGAAGAGACCGACCTACAGTTCAGATAGAAGAAAATATATATTAAAAAGTTCCCTCTTAAAAATAGTTACGAAATAGATATATAACCCACCTCCTTGTACGTTGCTCCGTGGTCGATAATCTCACTGATGCTGCCGTATGTGGCGATGATCGTGGTGAAGAAGATGACCAGGCAGTACATCCCGTACATATTCGAGTATGCCCTTCCCAGCTGCTGCATCATGTGGCTCAGGTCCACCCACAAATGGCGGTACTCGGTCAGTTTCTGGGCGGGCTTCTCTCCTCTTATTGTTGTCTGCATTTTAAAATTGTAAACTTTATTTATACTATTAAAAATATTTGCATTTTACCTGCAAGGCATCGGAAAGAGCGCGACTGGCAGTTCCAAAGGCATTGCAGTTGATGTACCTATGGGAGTTTAAAATGAAAATGTTATAATACTTAATTTGCTAAAACTAAACAGATAAAAAAACATATTTCAGGATGAACTTATTAATAATATTTTTATATCTTTGAAAATACTTTTAAATCGATAAAGAAAGCAAAAAGTAAGATGGCAAAAGAAAAATTGCGTCTTAAACTACTCTCTTCGAAACGCAAAAGCAAGATGGCGACTCAAATTACTTTGAGTAAAAATTTGACATTTTTGTAGTTCGAAAAAATGCGTATTTTGAACATCTTGCTGCTTACATTTTCGAACTTATGAATTATATAATTTCACCAAATCCAATTTAATTCTTTAACATTTTTTTATTGTTGGGAATCCAAGTATTTTCACTTCAGTAAATTAAACATTTTAAGGCTATCCACTCACCACAGGCTACAGAAGCAGTTCAGCATGGCGATGATGGGGTAGTAGGCGAATGTGTACCACAACCGGAAGTCCGGCTGCAGAAAGTACTGCGACAGGTTGATGGCGATGCTGAGGAGCCACGAAAAGACGCACAGCGACCAGGTGAGTGGGTAGAGATTCGGAAAGACAATGGGCGAACCGGTGGTCTTGAAAAACTTGTACTGATAGTTGGTCCACATGTTCTTGAAGATGGCCACCTGGGGACCATGCCGCCAACTGGCCACCGGGAGCAGAAAGTTGGTGAACAGCAGGCTGATGAAGATCACATTGTAGATGGCCTCGTCGAACCGCTTGTCCGGACTGGTGACGAACTTCTTGACCCGCTCGCGGAGAACCAGAACCACAATGGTCGTCTGGCAGCTGTAGATGAAGATGGCCCACATGACCTGCTTGGAGCTCCAGGAGTAGCCCGTCCTGGGCAGATTCTTCTCGGGGGGATTGCGGTGGATGGGCATTACGCCCATTATCTGAAACAGGACCAGCAGGCTCTTGGTGGTCTGGTAGAACGAGTCATGTTTGTCCAGCTCCAGGGGATCGTCCACGGTCTCCTGTTTGCGTACATACACCTCCTCCATGGCATCGCCCCTGGCCATCAGTTTCAGCTTCTCCCGGTAGCGCACCTCGTCCTCGAGGAACTGACGCTGGTTGGGATTCAGCATGGGCACCACCTTCGACGGCGGCGTCAGGCCGCGACTCACTGCCCAAAACGACATGGTGCGATCGTAGAAAGTCCTGCCGCCTCGCAGCGAGAAACCTTTTATACACTTTTAGACATCCCCAGGAAGCAGGCCTTGCTATTGACTTTCGATTGAAAGACAAACAATGAAAGGGACACGCCCGCAGGCGGCGCCCATTTGCTTGTCCTCCATTAAATATGCTCAAGTCCGGGACATGAGCACGAGCCTAGTTGGGCATTGGATACTATGCACTGAGAGAAAATGCTATGGTTTAGCTCTTAAAAAATAGGAGTTTTAGAGAAGAGAAGGTTTAGTATTGCGAAATTTTAAGCAGTCAAAAAAAGAAATAAGTTTTCCAGTTCTTAAGTAAAAAACTAATTTCAATTTTTTAAAAAGATTGTTAATGCTTATGTAATGTAAAATTAATAAACATTTATTAAACAAGCAACAAACAATTGGTCACGTCAACTGTAATGTTAAATACAAAAGTGATACCCTCCATGTGTACTTATAATTCCCAACTAGTTCTAGCACTACAAATTCATGACCTATTTACATACAATTCTTACGCTATAACATTACTTCATTTAACTATCTGAAGATAGCTATCTTTCTTGCTTTAAATTTATAATATATTTATTTATTTCAAATTTATTTAATTTAAAATAGAGCTTTTTCTCTCAGTGCCCGTTTGTTGTGGTCATTCTGCTGACACCGACCAACGGGTGACCCCGTCAGCAGTGAAGAATGGGAAGGACGACGACAAGGAGTAGGAGTAGGAGGTGACCAACTGAGGGCGACCGAACGGAGAAGGTACATAAAATGCGCTTAATTTGCCGGAAATGAAAGTTTAACGATGTGTAAATGCTTACGAATGCCGATAGAGGCTCGCACTAATGACCAATAAAAATGTGCCACCAACGGGTCGCAGGACGGGTCTCCATCTTTCCATCTTTGTCCAGGGTTTCGGGACCCAATCCTGGTCCCTTCTCCCACAACCTCGGCATGTGTGTGGGTCTGACTTTTGATCTATTTCTGCCTCAGATACCAAAAGGCCCGGCATCAATGGCTCTTAAGGCGCTTAAAGTCAGTCGAGAGTGGAGAGGAAATCCATGGCAATGACAGCCGTTCTGCCGCTCGGATGTCCAGATAAAACCCAATCCTCTCGAGCAAACTGCTCCTCGCTTCCCGGGGATAAACCAAGTGGGAGCTCTAAATCTCTCCCCGAGAGAATGTTTGGAATTTGTGCGCCACATTTAAAGAGTTTTCACTCTGTCCCAGAAGCCAACTGTTGCGAGTTTACCCCGAGTTTTTCCTGTTTTGGCACCGAAACTCATTTTCATGGCACATAGTTTGGCAAACTCGGCTCGTTTAATGCGAAAACTTTCAAGACAAACGACAAGCGAGACTGCATAAATAAAGTGTTTAGCTGGTTTTTTATGCCCATGACATAATTGCAGCCAACTGAGAAAGCAAGCTGCACATTTAAAAAGCGCTGGCGCAGCTTTATCCCTTTGGCTTAAAGAACTGCAGTGCATCCATGGATTTGTGGGTTTTTGTTGCTGCCACGTCCTTTTTTTTGTTCCTTTTTGCCAGGACGTGCCTTCTCCGAGTGTCACAGGAACCGAAGGAAGCGAATCTCCCACGGCCGCCGGCTGTCACCCACAAAGCGGCCTTGGCGAACAAGTTACATTTCGATTTCCGAATCCCCCGACTGGCATTCCCCTTTCAGCTCCGCCATCCTTCTTAGCGCGCCATCCATCAAGGAAATGCACTGGAAAAATTACTTAATACTTGATTTTTAAGTAAATATACAATAATGATGTAGTGTTAAGCAATAAATGTACCTCCCTCTAATGTAATAGTCAAATTAGATCTTTCTAACATTCTAATTTAATTATACCTTTTATCAATAATACTTAATAAAAGGCTCTCTCAAAAATATTATTCAAATTCAGGATAGATAGCTTTAGAAAACCTTTTTAAAACCTTTCTCTTCATATATATCATACTTTACCAAATAAAATTTGCATAAAATCTAGAAAATCATTACTTAATAGATTGGTGTATCATAAATGTTTCCTTATTTCATTTACCCCATTCCTTTTCAATATTATTTGTACAACTTTTCTTTCACTTCCCGCGTAATGCCAGTATCTTGTGCGAAATGCAGCTGAGAAAATGTGAGAAAGATTTACTTCTTGCGGAGGAAAGACTTTTATTAATATCCAGGGAAAGCGCAGAGCAGAACAAGCCAAAAATGGATTTTAGATTGGCTGTGGAGCTCGGGCAACTTAAGCAGAGGTGTCAGTGGTGGAGGTGGTGCTGGTGCTGGCCTCCGTGGTTGAGGTGGTGCTAGCTTCAGTGGTCGAGGTGGTCGTTGTGGTGGTGGTGGTGCTGTTGCTGGGCAGCGTGGCATTGGGAGGCAGACCCCATGGTCCACCGGGTCCACCTGGACCTCCAGGTCCGCCCTGTGGGCCACCAGGACCGCCCTGTGGGCCACCAGGTCCGCCCTGAGGACCTCCAGGACCTCCAGGTCCTCCTTGTGGGCCACCTGGACCTCCTGGACCACCTGCACCTCCTGGACCTCCCGGGCCTCCTGGTCCTCCTTGTGGGCCTCCAGGACCTCCACGACCACCAGGTCCACCCTGAGGTCCTCCTCGTCCACGACGTCCACCTTGAGCGGCAGCCACGGCAATCAGAGCGAACAGGGCGATGATGATGAAGGAACGCATCTTGCTAGGTGTTTGTATCTTTCAGTAGAACTCAACTGTGATACCTATTCGGCCATTTCACTCGGCTTTTATACCTTTCTCACCTTTCCATTGCGACCGACTGAATAAACAGCTTCAGTTTTCGGTGACGTCAAATAAACGTCGGGTGTAATTCGGTATTTGGTAAAACCGTCGACAGACAAAAGAGTCTTGAGCTGGTCTTCAAATCGCTAGCTAGCTATCCATTCATCTGTTTTTCTGCTTCCCCTGCGTCACAGAGCAGCTGCTCTTGATTCGTTTTCAATATTGTTTGTGTTTGTGTTTGTCCACTCGACCATTTATCACCACAAAAATAGTGGGTGGCGTTTTGGGTGGTTTTCATTGCTAATGGAGTTGTAGTTGTCGCCTTGTGATTCGATTCGATTCTATTGGGTTTTTGCGGGTAATTCATCAGTTCGACCAGCAGCGGATGCAATTTATGAGTTTGCATCGGGTGGGTTGGTCCTTCGAATGCAGGACCAATAAATAAATGTTAATTTAATTTGCCTTGGTCATTCAGATTTACAAGGTCTGAAATGGGCACTCGAAAGTGCACTTAGAAAGTTAGTTCTAGGAACTAAAAAATATAGAAATAAGAATTTGTACCTACTAAATATTTTTATTAGATGATTCCGTATAGTAAAGTAATGAAAATATTATCAAATGTTTAAAATATAAAATCCTATAAAAACCAGAAGGCTCCACACACTTAGACAGATCAAAACTTTACAGTTTAAATTTGAATAAAATTCATTTTCGAGCTGTGCAGGCGGGGATTGCACTCTGGCTAATGCAATTAAACATTAATCATACGCACTGTGTGCTAGGCCAGCTAGGACCAGCAGGATACATATGTCGATGTCCGGTGTCCGTTTGTCCGAGGTCCTCCGTTGCTGGGTTACATTCACGGCAGTTAGAGCGTAGCATCCACAAATTAGCAAATTGGACATAAATTGACTAATTAGTGCTAAAAGCAAGTGCCCATGTTTGCTCTGGCCACACTGAAACCCACCCCCACCCCCAACCCCCTTATGCTACTTGTACAATATTGAAGGGAAAGTGATAATTCAATGTGCGTAAATGGAAAATGTAGCAAACTAATTTCGTTTTATTGTGGTGGGCAGCCAACTCCCCTTATTTTTTGTTTATTTCCCCACTTGGTTGGGGAAATTAAAATGCAAATTTCATTTGCATTGGAAATTTATCGCTTTAATGAGCGCTGCAATTGCAATTAAAAAATCTGAACAACTGCGAAATGCTTTTCTCCCGTTTTCGCCCATTTTTCGCCTCTGGCCATAATCCACGGCCCAATGCGTTTGCTCTCCCTATAATAATTTGCCGAGCTAAGCGCTACCGACCAAGATCTTCAAATTTTTAATTAAAAACGCTTTGCATATTTTCCCACAATTGATTTTTGTTTTTCCGACCCAACCCAACAGAACTGCAGTTAAATAGGGGCGAAAAATAGGGCACAAAAACAGTTTCAATTATTCCGGTCACGCTTTTGTCCTCGGCAATTGATGGTTTAATCAGCTGTCTAACGGTTCTATGGGAAGAAATCCATCTGCTTGGTACTTAGGGTTCTCCCCGATTCATATCTCAGTGCTCTGTAGTTTTTATACCCGTTATTCGTAGATTAAAAGGGTATATTGTATTCGAGGAAAAATTTGAGTGCCGCTAGGTGGAGCCATCAAAAGTTTTAATAGCTGCTAGATGGAGCCAGTAGCTTTGACAAATGCATATCTCCATCTCCTTCGCACTCTCTTCACCTGAGTAACGGGTATCTATTAGTCGAAATACTCGACTATAGCGTTGTCTCTTGTTTTTTCCTTCGTTTTTCGGGGGGTTCCTGGTAATTGAAAAGTACACAAGCGCCTAGTGCATCAATTAGCAAAGCAAACGCAGCCAGTCAGTCGGCAAAGACAAAACGCAAACCATTGCGAAGGACGAAGGCCCATCCTTAGATTCCCACGAATCCTCGGGACTGCAAGTGCATTTTATTAGTGGGTAGCAAACCCAAACCGAGTTTTTATCTCTGGGCAAACAGTCGCAAGTGCCGCACAAAAGACACAAAGGGGCGAGAGCTATTGTCCTCGATGGATAACCCCCCTCCATTTCCATTTTCACTTCCACTTTCCCCATTTTCCCCACAAAAAGTTTATATTGCCATGCAAATGCGAGATGGCATTAAAGGATTTCCCAACTGCCGCGTTCTTGCTTCCATTTGTTAGTATCGCCATCACCATCGCCGGCTTTTATTGACTTTGCGCATTTAACTTTTAATTTTCACCATATTAAAGAGTCGAAAATAAAGCAGAAAAACTGGAAATGAAAAGAGTAGGTGAAGCGGTGAATGGCAAAACTTTTTGCGTTAAGCGCTGAAACAACCCCGAGCGCTTTAAGCGGTTCTCCTTGTTCAGCGTTTGGCGCTTGTAACACCTTTTAGTCTACTAAATGTATTCGTGTACTTTGGCCTCTGAGGGGTATATTGTTTAGCAGGTTAACTGGGAATTTTCTCTGGGATATTTTTGAATCAAATTTAAAAAGCCTTGAATATTACTAGAATTTTGAAATCATCTATAAAGGCATCTAATTGTATGCCACATAAATATTCAGATTATTATTTTCACATCATAATTTGGACACCTTCAAGTATGATTTTATAAATGATTTAAAGTGATTTCGCACTCTACATAAAAAGCCTTGAATATTACTAGAATTTTGAAATCATCTATAAAGGCATCTAATTGTATGCCACATAAATATTCAGATTGTTATTTTCACATCATAATTTGGACACCTTCAAGTATGATTTTATAAATGATTTAAAGTGATTTCGCACTCTACATAAGAAGTTCAATATATAAAGGTGTTTACATGCATGCAACAACATATTTTCACATTCTTATTTTTAGAGCATACTTTTAGACCCCTTAATAAAAGATTTTTAAACCAAAGTGATTTCCTTGTTTCTCCATATAATAAGTTTTAATAGTTTTTTGTATGTTCGAATTTTATTTTTTTAAAGAAAAGTTAACAGCCAAAAGGTATATTTAATTTTGCACATTTAATCTAAATCCTAAGACGTGGAAGCCTCAGTGGTGCTTGCCTCGGTGGTTGAAGTGGTGCTGTTGGAGGAGATGGTGCCATTCGGAGGCAGACCCCATTGTCCGCCAGAACCTCCTTGCTGCTGACCACCCTGCTGGCCATTCTGAGGACCTCCCTGGGGTCCTTCCTGCTGACCATTCTGGCCATTCTGAAGTCCTGGTCCTCCCTGGCCACCTTGTTGTCCACCTTGTTGTCCACCTCGAGGTCCTCCTTGGGCAGCAGCCACAACAATCAGGGCGAAGAGGGCAATCAGAATGTGGGAACGCATTTTCTCTTTGTGTTGGTTTAGTTAGCTTGGCGAAAACTCAGCTTGTGATACCTTTTCCTCACTGCCAAAGCCCTTTTATATTCTCGAAATTTTCCATTAGGCCCAAGCACATTTCTTTCCAACAGCTGCTGCTCCGGCGACGTCACGGAAATCAAACAACAACGTCTGTGGTAATTTGGTAAAACCGAAAGCAGTAGACACAAAGAGAGTTTAGAGCTTGGTCGAAAACGAAATGTTTACTGTTTACCACTGGCTAATTTACCTTATGTGCGTCATCTAGCTGTTACTTTTGATTTGTTTTCTATTTATGGAATAATTGGGCTTTGTGTAATAATGAAATAAAAAAATTGTGCAGTTCCCATTTCCGTTAAGTAATTTTATTTAAAATTTTATAGAAAATATTTTACAAATACTAGATAGCTTTAAAGTCGCAATAGCTCACCTTTAGCCCTCTAACCTTCTTTTCCGCCCTGAAATTATTTTCACACGAAGCATTATAGAATATTCCTTGCCCGCGGCGGCATCCTCATAGAAGTGGAGTGCCGTGTAAATATGGCAGTGATGATGCCTCACTTTCCCACCCATCCCAAAGACCCCACCTCCATCCAAAACCCCGACCCAACTCATTTCCATCCGGAACTGAGCCTGGGATGACATGAAGCGGCTTGTGCGCATTTCGGGCTCAACTTTTGTGGAGCCCACGCGGCGTATACTTAACCGTAGCTGCCTGCACATTCACTTTGCGCCGCTTAATCGGCAAAAAAAATGAGGAGGAAAAAGCAGCTAAAAAATAGATGGCAGCCCAACCAAGCTGCATGCAATATTTATGATTATTTTTTCGATTTCACTTCGATCGCTTCGGCCTTGGAAAATTTCATTTGCTGCATTTCAGCGCGACTGCTGCTCATCCTGATTTTTCCGCCTTTGTTGTTGCTGCTACCGCTGCAGGAAGCCAGGATGTGTTTTCCTTTCAATTTGTGCTACTAAAGTGCATGAAGGAAAGCTGGAGCTCAGTAAAGAAAGCGATGACTTGACTCAAGTTGAGTTAAGTTGGATAGAACTTCCTGCAGCGTTGGCCAATGCACACGGAAAATAAACTAGGTTTTTTTAGAAAGTTTATAAAGATTTCTAATAGATTGGTATAATATTTCAAGTAAAAGATTTAATTCTTTATTGAAGAGAATCTTGGGAATTTTATTAAGCGAAGTTCTGATTAAATTACTAAATATTTCTTAACTGAAATGATTTAGTGCATTATTTTCTCTCTCTGCTTCGGCAGGATGGCAACTAATTCCACCTAAGGATAATATGATTTCCGTGCACCTTCCGCCCTGAAAACCCACCTCCATTTTTGGCCCCCGTGCAGATTACATTTGCTACTTTCGTATTTCTGCGTATGTGCTCCCGTACTTTTGCACTTTTTCCCGTACTTTCATTTTTCAAAAGCGCGAATTTAGTCGGCTGCCAACTCATGTGTGTGAGTGTGTGGATCCCCCGATCCTCCCCCTATCTCCTTTCTGCCCCCTGATGAATGGTTCATGTGTTTCACTAACCAATTTGCGCTCTGCGCTCGACGTGATTTACAGTTCCCCAGCGAGCTGTTTTGCCTGCCTTTTCCCAGCTTTTCCCCACTTGCTCCATGTGGCAACTGGCTTAACCCACCTGTGGCCACAATACATCATCTAAAATCTGAAATAAATCCATGCTAGTCAATTGAATGAGTTACTATCTAATGGGAAATATTATTTTGTAATGTTTCAAGCACAGGAAAACTCATAAAGCAATTTGAGTTAGTACTTCTGGGTTTAATTTCATATTAATCTGGATTTGTTTGGTTATATCCTTAGTTGCCAAACTCATTCGAGGAATATTAGGATAAAAAAAATTAAGACTAGGGGTTTATGGCAATTTTATGGGAATTTTTCGATCCACATCACTTTTGGAAAGATTAAAAAAAATGTTTTGTCAATTTTTGAAAATTTAACAAGGGGTACCATCGTGATTTAAATGCCAATAGATGCATAATTTCATTACGAATCCAACAAGGTACAGCAATATATATTTGGAACAGTATTGCCATTGTTTTGGCAAAAATACTGAGTTTTTTGGTGGAAAATCGGTATGTGGAATTTTGATAAATACTTGATTTTTTTTTGTAGGGATTTTTTTTGCTATAACTTGGCCAAAAAGTTTTTATTAAAAAATTCAGTTTGTTTAAAAATTAATTTGTATTCAATGTTGTATAAAGTTTTCCTATAACTTTTAGGCTGCGGTGGGTTAACAGCTTATGGATCTCAGTGGGGTTAAGCCCTGCCGCAGAGTCCAGTCAATGGCAGAGCTGGCTTAAAGCGCCTTTGCACTGCACTCTGGTGTCCGCTCAGTTCGCAGTGGGATATGCAAATCAATTGATCATTTCGCCGGTCCACAACTGACGGCCTTCCACCTACCGACTGCCACCCACCAACTAACCACCCATCCCCCTTCCCCTCCCTCCTTGCGGGAAAACACTTCAGTGCACTGAAAGTGGCCGCTTCGCTGAGCAGCGAAGACGACTTTGTACTGCATTTCATGAGCCACCGCATATGCGTTTTTCCCCCAGACTTTCCCGCTTTTCCCGCTGCCATTTGCAACTGCTGTTTGTCGCAGATTTCAGAAAAAGAAGGAGCAGGGAAGTGGGAACTCTTTTAGTGGCCATTTGCGGGGATTCTCGGGGGGAAAAATGAGCTGGCATTCCTGGGATTTGCTTTAAAGTGGTTTTTAGCTGCAGCTCAAAAGTGTTGCATACTTTTTAGCGTCAATTGCTGGCTCAGAATAATTCAGAACGTTTTTGGGGGATGAACTGGGGCTTAATTAAACGATTTGCCGAGGATTAGATGAACCAGTTTGCTAATACAGGGCAGAACACTTGTTGTACAATTTTAAGACGGTCATTAAAATTTTTTATGTAACAAAAATATTTTAACAACAGAAAATAATTTGTAATATCCTTAAAATATTTAAGATTAATCAGTTGAAAAATCTTGTTCTTCCTTCAGAAATCATAAAGTACAATTTACTTGCAAGAATTTTTATTAACATAAAAAATAAGGAACATAAGCAAACAAAAAATAGTTTTGCGATAAGGATCTGTCTAAATCCTAAGATGAGGAAGCCTCAGTGGAGCTGGATTCACTGGTGCTGGCTTCAGTGGTTGAAGTGGTGCTGTTGGAGGAGATGGTGCCATTCGGAGGCAGACCCCATTGGCCACCTGGACCTCCTTGCTGCTGAGGTCCTCCCTGCTGGCCATTCTGAGGACCTCCCTGGGGTCCTCCCTGCTGGCTATTCTGAGGTCCTTCCTGGCCACCTTGTTGTCCACCTTGTTGTCCACCTTGAGCAGCAGCCACAACAATCAGAGCAAAGAAGGCAATCAGAATGTAGGAACGCATTTTGTCTTTGGTTTGGTTTAGTTAGCTTGATGAAAACTCAGCTTGTAATGCCTTTTTACATTTGCCAAAGACCTTTTATATTCTCGTAATTTTCTAATAACAAAAATCCCCGTGCTGTTTATTAATGGAAAAGAAAAATCAAAAACTTATTTCAACGCAAATAGTAAATAAACAAGCACAAAGCTAGTAAAACAGAAAAAAGAAGGCAAACAGAAAACAAAAACAGAACCAGAAGCAGAAATTTCATAACCGAGACCAAACCAGCTGCCGCAAAACGCAAAGAAGGCAAGTGAATGAGTCAATGCAAAGTATTTGTACTTTTTCAAGACCAAGAACACGAGCGTTAGACCCTTTTTGTTGTACTCATTTCGGTTTTTCCCAATTACCCCAGACGTTTGTTTGATGTCTGTGACGTAGCTGGGCAGCAGCTGTTTCTGAGGGGATTTCTCAGGTGGAAAAGAAAAATATTAGGAATATAAAAGGGCTTTGGCAGAGGGAAAAAGGTATCACAAGCTGAGTTTCCACCAAGCTAACTAAACCAAACCTACCAAAAATGCGTTCCTACATTCTGATTGCCCTCTTCGCCCTGATTGTTGTGGCTGCTGCCCAAGGAGGACCACAAGGTGGACAGCAAGGTGGCCAGGGAGGACCAGGACCCCAGAATGGCCAGAATGGTCAGCAGGGAGGACCCCAGGGAGGTCCTCAGAATGGCCAGCAAGGAGGTCCCCAGCAGCAAGGAGGTCCTGGCGGCTCATGGGGTCTGCCTCCGAATGGAACCATCTCCTCCAACAGCACCACTTTAACCACCGAGGCCAGCACCACTGAGGCTTCCTCATCTTAGGATTTAGACAGATCGTAATCGCAAACCAATTTTGGCTGTGTTTTATTCCATATTTATAAATAAAATTTCTTGCAAAAAAATTATACTTTCTGTATTTAGTTTAACCTCTGTTGTGTTTGTTTAATTATTATTTGCGTTTGTTTCGACTGGTACAATAGAAAACACCTTTTAAAAATTCCTTCCCTGCGTTGCTAGAAACCTAGTTAAATTTATGAAGAGAAACTGGAGGTCAAGTTCGTTGGCCACTCAATTATATCTTAGTTACAGTTCAAGTAAGAGTGAGATTATTGACTTTCGCGTGCGAGTGGGCGATGGTTTGGAGTTGGATAAGCGCTGATCCCTCACGGCGGCAATGTAATAAATTAGCTGGCAATGAACTCGGGAAGCGCTGGCATCATAAATCATCTTCGGGACTAGGATTTTGAGTCCTAATTATCGCCGCAGCCAGTGGGCCAAAGCCTTTGCTTCTGCTCCATCTATTCTCAGCCCATCTTTCCACCCATTTCAATAACCATGACGAGTCCAAGAGTCCATGAGTCCAACCATGACCAAAGCTAATCACGAACAGTGGCCAAACTGACCAAACTGAATCTGAAGCCAAGCGCAAAGAATGTTGCCACGCATAAAAATGGAAACTGAGGCGATTATCCCGGGGATTTCTTCTCCTTCTCGTTGGGATTAGGAGGGCTTCTTCTGGTTTGGGTAGATGGTAGATAGAATGATGGAATGATGCCACCACCAGCTCAATTATTTCTGCCTATTTATCCCCGCTTCGATTTTCTGTGTGCGAGTTAAAGCGATGAAATTGTAACTGAAAATCCGTTTAAAGACGTCTCGCTGTAAAAATTTGATTTTAATTGAATTTCTCATTTTCGACGGGGCCTATTCAGGGGGTTTTGTAGTCGGATGGTAGGATGGTCGTGACGTTGGCAAATTCAATTTGCCGCTAAATGAGCTAAATGCGATTAAACTGGGGCAGACAGACTGTTCTCCCTGCCACCCATTTTGGTATTTTGGTATATTAAAGCCGAGAGGCAGAAGCCTCTTAGCCCCAAGAACCCCAAATACAATTTCAGACCCTCGGAGCACCGAAGACATGACCGCGCTTGCGGCATGTGTAACATATGTCAGATGTGCCGGACTCGGCCTAAATCAATACAATTGTTTGGGCCCAGTTACCGCAGCCCTGCACTTGGGCCTTATTGTCATTGGACAGCGCCAAAGGACGATGTCAACAAGCGGCCAAATGAAGAAAACAATAAGGCGACGAAACTTTTGTTTCAAAGCGAAGAGGATATGCCCTGAAAATCACTTAAGACGATATAAATAAAAAGAACAATGTAAAAAAAAATATATATAATTCCACTTTAAAATATTGTACAATTTCTTAAGAAAATATTTTATTCATTTTATTTTTAAGTTTAATTAATAATGTGTGGATATCCTCCAAGAAATATTTATAAATTCCAAAATCAATATTCCTAAATACAAATGTTGCTTGTTTGCTTTGCCATTCAGTGTCTTTTATAAGAAAGAGAAAATTGTTATGAAATTGGCATCGTTTAGAGGAGAAGAAGTCTCCCATATTGAGAGCATTGAATACTATAAAAATAAATGAGTTTGCCAGTCTTGTTTTATTGGAAAGAATATTTCTGTGTCAGACAATTTGGACCATTAAATAAAGATTATAATAATTTAAAAGATTTTTTTTAGGACCTAGGAATTTAATTATAAATTCTAGTTGCCAAATAGCAATAACATTTTATATTATTCTGTTGTATTTTCTGCAATAATAAATGTAAATGGCTTTAATCACTTTAACCGAGACAAATATTTGTTATGCAAGGGGATACACATTTGCCGCTTGATTTTGGGCCGCAAAGGGTTCATCATTTAGTTGGCTTGCCCCATTTCTTTTCTCGTTTCTCGCAGGGATCTCTGTGGGCCCTGGATTTGCATTTGGCTTGGGCAAAAGACCGACAACAAGTTGTTGTGCCCGCTCCTTAAATCCTTTTTGTGTCTGCGCCTTGGGTTTTTGCCAATTGGCGCCGGAGGACAATGGGCGGTCAGAGGAGATCCACAGAGCCAGCAAGCCAACAAGCCAAAGAGTTAATAAAAAGTTGTCGTCGAGCAAGTTTTCCCTTGTATTTCCTCGGTCAAATCCCCTCTTCCCCCGGAATTCATTCGCCACTTGTTTTATGGGACTTCGGATTCAGATTCAGTTTCAGCGGCTGCAGCGTCAGCATTTCTATCGCTTCAGATGTTTGTTGGTTTTCCACTTTTTACTTTATAGGGTGGAGAGATATGGGGGTGCTGCTACTTGGCCTGTCTTGCGGCACTGCGTTTCTTTTCGTTTCGCTTCTGTTTTTATTTGCATACAATTTGCCAGTTTATGGCCGTCAAGAGCTGGTCTCTGGTTTGGTTTTGTTGGGTTTTGAGTATATATCTCCCCTTCCTCGTCCACAAATATATGTTATTTGTATTTATTGATTTCCAAGTGAAAACATTATTGAGGTTGGCCTCGACATCGCCTCGCTCTGGCTCGTTCGGCTCAGTCATGAAAATTGTTGCGTACCCAAAGCAAATTTGCCCTCTCTCGTTGAAAATGTCGAACAACAAAAGGACTTCATTATTATTGGCTTCGTTGTTGTGCTGCGTGTTGTGTTGTGTGTCAGGATGCCTGGCATTGCCCATCGTGAGCTGGCAAACTGATTAAATTGAATTTCATATGCAAAAGGTGAAACTCAATCAAGAAAACATAAAGGCGGCGAACACACAAAACAAAATCTGGCCATACATAATAATTTGTAATGGATAAAATGAGCGCTATTGTAAGATGTGAAATTTTTGAGCCTCACAACTAATTGGGAGGAAATATTTCAATGAAGGTTGAACTCTATTAAAGTCTTAAATTAAATACCTATTTAGGACATCTAAAGGACAAACAAAATATGTCAGAATTAAATTTATTATTTGTTAAATAAATATTTAAAGAAGTCATGTTTAAAGTTATTTTAAAATCATCTTAACATTTATTAATATAAGGTTAAATAGTTTAAAATCAGAAATAAAATATTCTGACGAAGAAATATCCATACTTTTCGCTCACTGCAAGTATTAGTGGTCGGATCTATCTGCCTGTGTGCGTATGTGCCAGTGCTCGGATTAACCAAAGCCAAAGGGAAGGCTTTGCGGCTTTGTTGTGTGGCAGTGATATGCTCCACCCTCCGACCTTTCACCCGCCCTTCACCAACATCCTTCCACCTTTGCAACCTTTGAGGTTGAAATTAATAGCAAAATGGAAATTAAAAGCCACTCGGTCAGAGGAAAAAGGAAAATGCTGCGAGTCAGGGGGAAAATTGAATGACTCGCAACGCGCTGGAATAGAAAGCTGCAGCTTTGGGGGGCATTTTCGAGGCATTTCCCATTTCCCACCCACCGAAAGGCGAGGTACTTAAAAGTAAAAGCCCTGTTCGCTGGCCCGTTGTTGCTGGTTTTATGTTCATAGCTCTCGCATAGGTGATAATTTCATTTGGCCAAATCAAAACCGGAGACTCTCACACACTCAAAAGCGGGAAACAGGCAACCTGAGCCTCATATATCGAGCTAATAAAATTTTAATGAAATTACGAGGCCTTCCCTTTCCCCTCTCCCTGCCCTTCGACCCTTCTCGTAATAATCACGGCCGAAAAATTTTATGCCGTCTACGTGGCAAAACACTGAACGACCGAAAAGCGGAACCGCCGAAAAGGGGAATTCAAGTGGAGCATAAAAGGAGCTATTAGCTGGCGCGATTTTTCCCCGTTTTTCCCTCACCAACCTGTTTCCAGAAATCTCTTCCTCATTTTCCCCTCCCCCCTTTCATAGCCCATTCGCGGCGTTGAGGACACGCACATTTCGCCAGCCATTTTGTGAGTACATTGCTAAAAAACTTGGGTTTATAATTTAGATTACTTTTTACGAAGTTTTTTATTTGCTTAGGGTAGGCCCACTAAATCAAAATTAAACTTTTAAATTCTCTAAATATTTAAGGTGTCTAAAAGTATGCAGTAAAAAAACATTTTTGTCTGTTAGAATGAATCTTCAAAATTGTGGCATACTTTTTCTTAAATTTATAAGTGATTTGTAATTTTAAAATAAATGTACTTTTATTTGTTTAACCGTTAGCTCTTCATTTAAATCATTTTCATATGATATTTTATTTTGCTTAGCCAGTTTTCAGTGTACTTCTCCCTGTTAGCAAGACAGTGTGTGTGGGCCAGTGGGCGTGGCACCGGGAGTGTGTGAGTGAGTGTGCATTAATGATGCATTGCATCTGCCATCCCGCGTGCCAGCTTAAAACGCTTCGCATCGCTTAATTAGAGGTGAACTGGGGGGAGGGAAGGGGGAAGGGGAGTTTCCAAAAGGGAAGTTCGGGGCACGTGCATTTTAACTGACTTCTTGTCGCGTAATTGCAAAGGAACACAAGTTTTGATTAAAGTTTTGGCCCAACTACACCGAATTTACAGACAGAGATGACAGAGATTTTTAACTCTATCATGAATTTTTATGACTAGTTTTAAATCTCAGTTTTTAAAGCCGATTCATAAAATTCTGAAAACTTTCAAAATATTCTATGGCCTAGCAATGGTTATCAAACTGTCGTAAAAGTAGAGATATGGCCCATAAAAACCGGCTATACTAGATTTAAATGTGTTAATCTGCTACCTTTTCTCATCTTTGCCTGGCGCATTACGCATACGCCGCGTGCGCTCGGTAAACTTTCCCTGCAGTGACGTCTAATTAAAACTTATTTTTGCAGTTTGCCAAGACAAAGGGATGAGTCTCCACCCTCGGCTTCTCCCGGGTGCTTTACAGGTGCTGTTGTTGTTTTTGATTATGTTGACGCCAATGGAAATATTTATCAAGTCATCGCGTTGCAGGTGGAAGATACACATGCATATACATATTATACTTATATGGCATGGTGGTGGTGCTGCGGGCAAACAATGCAGATTACG